TTACACATACAGAACAGTGCAATTTAGGCACTTGGAGAGGCCCAGGTTTTAACTTTCTGCACATGAGAACAGATGGTCTGATTCACACACAGGCCCAGTTTACACACAGCCTTCACATATAAACAACAGCTACTGCTGAGTGCATTCAGGAACTCCCCTTCCCTTCCCAAGGTCATGGGGACTTCTCTCCCCTTCCCACACGTGAAGACTCCCTCTCTGCCTGGGGCCCTATTTCCCTTGGTCAGTTGCTGTTCCCACTTCACATAATGATGGTGAAAGTTGTTTAGTACAGTAAAGGTCCAAAGGATAGGAGGAGGACAGAGAAGACAGATACTTCCCTCCTTGTCTGCATCCCTCCCCTATAGTCCTATCGGGGACTGGAAGCCCAGAGGGTTGTAAGAGCTGAGTGCATAGGATTACACACATAGGAGCCCCAATGTGTTAGAAATACCCCATTCACTCCCAAAGGCAGGCAGGTGGAGCCTGAGGCTCCAGGACCTTTTGTCTTTGCAATTGTATCCAGAATGTCTTAGGGGGCTGCTAGAGCAGAGCAGCATCTAATGGTGTACCCTGTGGTCCCCACAGCTGTGATAGACATCCCTATGTTTATCACATATGGATAGACATCCAAGAAGGTGATCCAACCAAGATGGTGATCCACCCAAGATGCTGAGACTGAGCAAATCCTGCATCAACCCGTAGCTGCAGAACACACTTCTACTGTTCCCTAACTCAGGTCGTTGGGTCCAGGGTAGGTAGAAATGAAAACTGGATACAGAAAGGATTTAATATAGGCAAGGTTTTGTTATTAGGGGCTTCTGCTCAAGTCAGAAGGAAGACAGTATTGACTAAGAGTTTCAGGTCAGCTCAACAAAGGACAAAGGGGTCAGCTTTTACAGCATCTATGGAGTCCGAAGAAACTCAATCTCTTTATGTCATCATGTATGGAATAGCCACATCTGCATTTTTCTTCATGCCTCTTCATGTATGGCATGTCTCATACCATCTTAAGACYGTACTTGGTGGTGTGCGTTTATTATGCTAATAAGGTAAAGGTAACTGTAGTTACTTTAGTGACTCTTCTCTGTGTGTGTTTGCCCCTCACCATCTGGAGTTGCCCTTTATCATCTACAAAAGTTGCTGATATATTTTTCAGAATGGGAAAAACTTTTGTTCTTCTTAGTGGACTACTTTCAATGATTTTGCTTTTTTCTGACCCCAGCTCCTTAGCATTTGCTGACCACATAATCTCAAAAGCTGAGCTGTCTTCTCAGTCTCCCATCTCCTGGCATGTCATCTCATTACCAAAGCCTTGAGGACTGATTGACTTTTTGATGCCCAATTTTCTGGTGTGGCTCCTGACTCCCTAAAACAAAGAGCTAGCCTGGTTGTCCTATTTTCCCTGAGAGGTTTCATCTCTCAATTCTAAAGGGCTCTGCTACTGGGGAGAGATAGGTGGGCCCAGTTGGTGTTAGAGGGAGAAGCCTGTACTTCAGGTAGCAGAGGAGCATGGTCAAAGCCCAAGAAGCCCAGTCAGTAGCTGGAGTGGGGCATGAGATAGATTCCTGGTCCCTACAAAAGGGATAGAGCCTTGACTCTCCACCTCCCTGGAATACATTATCGGTGATGCTGTTGTGTCCTTTTAGTGGTGTCTAAGCCAAGTGCTCTATTGAAGCATGTGCGTTGTGCACACTAAAGCTTTGTCATTTTCAAATACTTAATATGAAAAAGTTCCATTACATTTGAAATCCACATGCATTATCAAAAGAAACTTATATATGTCAACAAAAGAAAAAGAAGAGTTACTAGATCTTTAAAATCTAGTTTCAACTGCTTAAACATTTTTAACATAATAATAGTTTTAAATGTATTACCTATATGTCTAACCAATTTCTCCTTAGAAATTGAAGATTATTCAAGCATCTTAGCAAATATATATATAGCTGTTTCAATATAAAGCCATATTGAAAAAAGTTATGCTCATGAAATCAGGTTCAAGTTCCTCTTAGCTTTAAAAATACCTTCGTTAAACTTTCTTCAAAGTCAGCAATTATCTTCCCTTAACACTTTGTGTTTTGTGAGTATAATTTTAAAAAGAAAAACTACAGTTTTCACTAAGCCACATATAAGTACCACTGAATTTATTCCAGTTTATTTTATTCATAAAATTCCAAATTTTATGATTATGAAGACACTGGAAAATAGTACCCTATATTATATTTATTACTACACAACCACATTTGTGATTATATAGATTAATAGACTAGCCAGATAATTAGTTAATTTTTGTTTCTTGCATAAAGAAATGAGCAAATGAATTCAGATTTCCAAACAATAGAGTATAAACCCATTATTATCTCAACTTGAGTGAAGATAGCTTTTTTAGGTAAATTGCAACCTGTTACAACCCAATTTGTMAGTGCAATTTGTTGGCTGCCAGCAGTTTCAAGAGTGCCATTTTGTAGTGTACTTTAAAATGTTTTCTCTCATAACCCCTCTATGATGGCCCRCACTCTGGTTTAGGTGGTTTCTCACTGGCACATTTAAAACTCATGCTAACATGCTCCTAAAAGAACAGGATTGCTCTTTAAGCCTGTAAAAAGTCCTAAGAAAAATGTAGTAAGTAGACAAACTTTTCTTTTTTTTGTTTCCTCCCTCCAGTCTGTTCAAGGTTGCCAGSTTCAATCTTTGTTAGACTTTAAACATTTTTAAATCATCTATTTCACCCCAACAGATATGAAATCTCCTATTGCATAAGTCAGGAGCAGCCAGCCAGAAACAGCCATTGCACCAGCTCCCTAAATGCAGCTATCTTTGGGAGACCTCTCTGTAGGAAGTAAAACTAATACTTAGTTCCCAGAAGATTAGGTGTGGTTTTAATGAGCTCATTGGGGGGGGGGAAGGGGCGGGGAAGGGAGTGGCTTGAAGGTTCTATTTTTAAAAAGCTTATAAAGGTCATTCTCTGTTGTCTTTAGACTATAGATGAGGGAGAGACCTCTCTCCGTTACAATTAGAGGTTAACAATCTGTGCTAACCTAGTTTCCAGCGAAAAAGCAAAGAGGGTACATACAGATAACTTCTATTTCAACGGAGAATGGGATAATCAGCTCCTGAACCAGCGCCAAATTTCACTGAGCGGCGTCTAGGCCAAGGGGCTTCTCCACCTCAACCTGGGCTCACCTGCTTCTGCCAAACCAGTGCTGCAGGTTGGGTGGAAATTCCACTCCTTTCCTCCAAGACAAGAGCGCCCTCCCCCCAAGGGTTCTCCTCAAGGTRCATGCAATCGCCTGGACCATTGAGGGGATAGCAAAGGTCTTGCATCACTCCTGTCACAGCACTCACTAGCGCTGGCATTTAAAATAATCTGTCCCCGTCATTGCATTATGCTAGTTGGACTTGCCCATATGCGAGTTAAGGTCTTATAATGAGGGCCTTGCTTCTCATTCTGGCTAGCCTATGTCCGTCACCAATTCTCTCAGGACTTATTCAGAGGAGTATTTCACTTTTCAACAGTCCTGTGGCGAGCTCTAGTACGGGTCAGAAGCAGTTTTGAAATTGCGGAGGGAGAATGACCGTGGATACCGCACAGAGTACGAAAGAGACAGAAATTTTAGGGTGTTTTAATCTAGAATGTGCCTGGGACGCCCAATGCTCTCGTCCGTCGGTAAGACCGAAAGGATGTCTGCCTTACCTTACCTCTGTTTCTCTGGCCTGTGTTGCAAAATACCTGGCTTCTACTAGGTGCTTGATACTTGGGAAATTTGGAGGGAGGAAGGAAGGGTGGGAGGGAGGAGTGTGCTTCAAGTACCTAGGTGATGGGAATGCCCAGCAGAGTGAATTTCGTGGAGATCGGTGGGTGCTTTTTCCATAGAATTCTCTTCCGGCTTCACCTGGAGTTCACGCTTTTCCTCTCGAGAAGGAAAACCCCTGATTATCAGCTGGTGCTAAAGGTTAAGGGGAGATCAGAACTATTTTTTAGAGGGGGCGGTACCGCTGAACCACCAGTACCAATAAAGACTATACATAACAAAATCAGGTTCTGCTAGCCAAATACCAGGTCTCCTTCTGGGTGCTCGACCCCAGGTTCTGGGCTCTCAGTGCCGCAGCCTCTCCCAATCTTTACAGCAGAGTCCCTACTTGCCGACCACTAATCACCGCCCTTCCTCGTGGACCAGAGCCGAAATCTGGGCGGAGCCGGTCCGCAATGCGGGTATTCCAATAGACTTGGTTCCGAGAAATCCAGAAGTTCCCTATGCCTCCCGCAGTTCGGCTGGGAGAGGAAGAGCTGCCTGGACTCCCTGCTCCGGGCGTGGAGCGCAGGAGCGCGTATCCTCCCTGCCGCAGCCTGGGACACTGGAGCAGGCCAGAGCGCGTGAGCACACTGGAATACACTATCTTCCTTCAGAACTGAGCAAGGACACGGTCACCCTTTCCGACTCTGCCATTAGTACCTCCCCTGCTCACAGGTCTGGGAGCAAGCTCATCGGTGTTGCCTAAGTTCCACTAGGGCTGCGGCTGCTATCCAGGGTCCCAGTGGAGTTTGTCCTCAGATCCCCCCCTCCCCTCAACACACACACCTCCCAAGCTGGAGATGACCTGACTCCAGCGCCCGGCTCCGCTCCTCCCTAGTCCCGCCTTCGGCTCCGCCCCAGCGCCCCGAGGGCAAACGGGTGTGGGGGGGGCGGTGAGCGGACGGAATTTCCCAGCGCGGGGGCTCRGGCTTCCACGGCAAACGGGCAGTCTCTTTCTGTTTACGGAGAGAAAGGGGAAATGGAAAAGGCGGGGAGGCGGCGGCTGGCGTCCGCTGCGCCGCCCCTGGGCTGGCTCAGACGCTGTGAGTCAGGGGCCVACGAGGACGGCCTGAGAGCACGAGCCGCCGGGAACGCACTCGCCGGCTCAAGTCTTGAGGACGCGCCACGCTCCGGGGGCCGATCGCCCTGGCTCCCTATCCTGCCGCAAGACCTCGGTGCCCCGGTGTGCCTGGCTCCGGAAGGCCGGCCACCAGTTGCGCACCGAGCCTTCGGGGGAACCCGGCTGGAGCGCTGGGCTGGAGGGAGTGCGCGGAGAACGCAGGTAACCCAGAGTTTGGGAGCCATTTGGCATCCTCCCCTGGGTGCTCCGGGGTTTCTCACTCAGAAATAGAGTGTACTGCCCTCAAAGCGGAGAAGTCCGGGGCCAAGTGAGTTAGGAGTGTTGCGGTGGGTGAGCCGCTGCAACTCCGCCGCGGCCCTCTGCGCTGGTCGCCAGCTGCAGGCAGGCACAGCTGGAAAGCACCTTGCGCAAGGGTCTCACGAGGTATGGACTCGCGGCTCCTCCCCCTTCCTCTTACTTCCCGGATCCCCGGCTACTGGGCAGTGCGGGTCTGGGCAGTGAGCTGTGAACCCCGGACGCGCTGTCACTGCGCCTCCTTCGGGGGACGCCGCCTGGGCGGCTGCACTGTCCCTTCCGAGATCGGTGAGTGCACCGTGGAGGCTGGAGGAGCCTTCTGCTACTCGCTCAAATGATGGGTACTTTTATAAGTTATTAGCCCTTTGAGGCTCCCTTGGCTTTAAGGATCAGGTAGAAAGGAGTGTGTGTTTGGTGGTGGTGATGGTGCTCTGTGTGTGTGTGTGTGTGTGTGTGTGTGTGTGTGTGTGTGTGTGTGTGTTAGGTTGAAAGACAATTTTGGACCGTAATTAAAGGCTGCTCTTGATAAAAACAGGGAGAGAAACGTATTTGCTAAGTAGAGTACATTCCAATTCCAGCCGAGGCCCTCATCCTCCCTCTGATGGATTGGGGTTTGTGTGCTGTCAGCTCTGGCATATGGCCCTAAGGCTTTGTCCTATAAGGGAAATAGGATAGTTGTGGTATTTAGAAGAAGAGCGACTTAGATTATACAGGGCTGGAATGCACCATTCTGGGACTTTTTGAGAACAAAAATACAGTTAAGAGATTTGCCCTGCGGGGCAATGTAYTATTTTGGCAGGAAAAATATCTTCTAATTGGGAAGTAACACAAGATGTATTCATCTTTTGTTAGGCAGAAGTTCATGCCTAACAATCTTGGCTATTTTCATTCACACTTGCCAGGAAACACTCAAGTTTTGTTTATGTCAGTGGCAGTAGCCAGGAGCATTACATTAATGTTTACGAATAGTATTTTCTCTTGATTTTATTGCTGATTTCTGAAAAAAATTCGAGTGCATACTTTTGACTGTATTTGCCCATCTCTCCATTTATAAAATTAGCATAATTTTTATTCTATTAGAAAGCCAAAATTTGATGAGGATTTTTATTATAAACTGTATCTAGGTCAGTCATCTTATGCTAAAAGTCTTTATTGCTAAACTAAAATGTATTCACCATCTGTACTTTGTCTAGATGTGTACTGATCATGCATATCTTAAACTGTTAGCCTACTGTCTGCTTAATTAAGGTGAGAAAGTGCTCAGTGTCTTTGCTGGAGTGTATAGCAGGAATGACTGGTCATCAGGGTTGCCAGGGAGCACAGATTTGTGTGACAAGAGTCCTAAGTTGCTAAGGAATGGAGCAAGCTCTGAGGAAAGTCTCAGTGTCAAACACTCCTTCACTTCTCCTGTCCTCCCCTTCAGATCTCTCTTCCCCTCACCTTAAAGTTTAAGAGTGTGCTTGTGCATGTGTGTGTGTGTGTGTGTGTGTGTGTGTGTGTGTGTGTGTGTAACCTCTTTGGTTTACATATAAAATGCTTGAGACTTTCTGCAGCATTTAAAAACCAAAAGCTGTCTTTCCTCTCTAGATCAACTGAATAAATTATATAGACTTTTCTTCTCTTAAGTCATCTTAACATTGGGAACTTTATTTCCTTTCAAGTGATCCATTTAAGTCAGTCCAGGAGGCTTGGATCCTTGCAGTTAGTTGGGCCATAAATTAGACTGGTTTGTTGCCATTGTTGTTGTTACTTCTGTTTTTCTAGTAAATTCTATGAGGAGAAACTGCAACTAAATGGCTCAGTGAAACTGAAGTCAAATGTTCTTCCATACCCTGAGAAGTTCCCTTCATAATGTTACAGATGCCAAGAACTTGAATCTCAGTCTCCCCTCAAAAATGTACAAGATCTTGCTGTTGGATCTGTCTTTATAAACTACTGAGCTCTTAGAGGAAAAAGAAAAGAGACATGCAACATCTCTGAGAGGGAGCAATCTCTGAGAGGTAGCAACCATCAAAGCATTTCATAGATTTCTGCTTTTTCTTTTTTTCTTTGACTCTTACTTTAGGCAATCTTCAAAAGTTTACTGTGAAGGAGGCTGCGGAACAGGTAGCCACATCTCATTTGCTGATAAGAAAGGTGGCTAGCGATATCTGCAAAGCCAGATCTATGACTCGGTACTTCTCTCTTGATACACATAAAGCAGCTACCCATGACAGTTTATTTACTGTGCACCAGACATGTGCACACAAATTGATTTAATGCTCTCAGCCTTCTCAGGAAGTAGGTGCTGGTCTTCTTTCCATTTTACAGAAGGGGGGAAATGAGGTACTAAGAGATTAAGGTACTTGTTTAACATCAGGCAGGCTAAGGTTTGACTCCAAGTTGCCTGAGTCTAGAGGAATATTAGACTGCAGGATGGTAAGAGACTGATGATACTAAATTATGTGGGATTTGTTTGAAAAATGAAATGCACTCAGAGAGAAGCAGATGGCTGGGTCATGCATGCAGGTGGCCATGGGTAGAGCATTTCCTGAAGCTTTAAACTGAACCTCCAGGTTGATCGAGATACATAGCATTGGTAGTGCTGTGTGTATTAATTCTTGTGCTTTTTTATTTTATTTTATTTTTTGGTGTTTGGTATGGAATTTAGGATCTCATGAATGGTAGGCAAACACTCTACCACTGAGCTATACCAACCAGGGCATAAACATCTTTCAGAGAGAGGCCCTACTTTCAGGAATACTGTGGTTTAAGTAGAGAGATAGCTTCAAAGTTTGCTTAGATCTTTTGGATCCTGTTGTTTTTACTTTGGGAATGGGTTGAGTTGTTCTAAGATCCACAGGGACAGCTTCTCTTTTATCCTTTGCATTCTTTTTCTCATCTACGCATTCCCAAGTTGTTGTACCTGATTGCATAAAAGAACTGAAATACAGCTTTGTCTGAGGTAGTCAGTTGATCTTAACCTGTGGTTTGCTTATGATAGATTGGACTTTCTTGGCTTATTTCTGCTGCCGCAACTTCTAGAAGGTCATTGGTTTAGATATTAAATTAACCTTCTGGGACTCACATTATGTTTGTTTTATACTATTACAGAAGGGGAGAGCTGTATTACAGGTTAGACAAATTGTCTCCTTTCTCATACTTACCCCTGGCAGAACTAGGATCTGAGGTCCTATCCCCCTTCTAATGAGCTTTTAAACTTGTTTGTATAAGAATTTTACTGAAACTTGACCTATCAACATCACATTTGCCTAGATTAAAATCTGTTTTACTTTCTTTGGGTTCTCAACCTGGCTTTTATTTGTAAGTTAGTTCCTGAATCTTGTCAAGTAGTTCTTTTTTTTTTTTTTGTTACAGTTACTATAAGCATAAAAGACAGTGATTCTTGTAGGGAGATACTACTTTGGGGTACACTTGGGCTGTGTGAAGTTGGAAGCTCTAAGGAGCAGGGAACCTCAGGACTAAAGAGTTCTGAGCTGTTCTTTATTCTTATTTATGTTTAGTGAAGTTCATTTTCAGTAGCTGATGCCACAGTGAGTAACCAGCAGAATCTCTAGATCTCAGGTTTCCCTTCGCAAAGCTGGCTGCATGAAAGATTATCTAAGGTCTCTTTCAACTGACACTGCCTGTCCACTTGAATTCACACACACTGTTGACAGAGAGCCCTCATTATGAACAAAGGGAAGGAGAAGCCTAGTCACAGTACTTTCAATTCAGATTCCCATTGGTTTCCAATGCAAATATCAATAGTAAACTAAGTGTGTTGTTGTTGTTGTTGTTTTCGTAGACTCTCCAGAAGGCACCACAGTAATGGAGTACATGAGCACTGGAAGTGACAATAAAGAAGAAATTGATTTACTAATTAAACATTTAAATGTATCGGATGTAATAGACATCATGGAAAATCTTTATACAAGTGAAGAGCCAGCGGTTTACAAACCCAGTCTAAGGACCATGTGTCAAGATAGTAATCAAAACGARGAGCGTTCGGACTCTCTGCTGCTTAGTGGCCAAGAGGTGCCTTTGTTGTCATCCGTCAGATWTGGAACCGTGGAGGATTTGCTTGCTTTTGCAAACCATATATCAAATACCTCAAAGCATTTTTATGGACATCGACCACAAGAATCTGGAATTTTATTAAATATGGTATGTTTTTTCTGATCAGTTGAGTGCTGTGTGTCCGCTTTACTAGTGTGGCTTCATTTAATGCAGGGTGGCATTTGAACTTGGTTTACACTGTCTTCCAGGTGTGGTTTTTGAATGCAGTTACTGGTAAGAATAACCTCCATGTTAAAAATGCAAAAAAAGTCTTTGTGAAAATTTCCACTTAAAGAGTCAATCATAATTTAGTAGTGGCTCTAAAAATTAAGAATGTCTTTTTTGGGGGGTGGGGATGGTACAAGGAAACTGCTATTTCACTATTCCTCCAGTCCTTAATAATGCATTTATTTAAAAAAATTATTAAAAAGCTTATTCATCATTTACACAGAAGAGAGGTTTAATGAGAGTCCTTCAGTTGAGAGGTGAATAAACTCTTTGACTTAATACTTTTAAAGGCTGATTTAGTCGTTCTTCTCTTGCCACATTGTTAAGTGTTATAATACACTAATATTGGCTAAATTCAGTTCTTGCAGAAACCTAGTTTGTAAGTAGCAGATAGCTTCCCACAGATCAACTCTGCAATCGCCAGTCTGAAAGACAGATGATGTATTTGCGTAGTCATCCCAAGTATGCAAATAATCCAAAATATTGTGACAACACTTTGTTGCCCCAATAGTTCCATCAGGTGACATGTTTAGGTGTAACTGGCTTTGTGCCAGGCTTTTAGTATGTCAGAGGTGAATGTGGGTGCTGGCTAAAGGTGATCTAATTTTTTAAAAAAAGAACAGTTTGCAAAACAGTAGGTGGTAGCTTGCAAAACCTGCTTATTGATGAAAGTGACTCTCTATATATACTATTCCTTTAGTATATCTAAATAGCAGAATGGCCAATACTCAGGGAATATTAGTGATAAATGAGCATACAGTCTGATACTATTTAATGAAAAACAACACAGTAATTTAGGTCAGCTATGTTGTGTTGTTTTGTTAGAAGCCAATTATGTTCAGGTGAATGTGGAGCAAGATTATATTTTGCATTATTGTGTGGCTTCCTTTGGTCTGGATATACTGGATATAAAATGCATTTAATAGTTCACTAATTCCTTTGCTTTCAGAATATTACTTGCTTTTATAAATAGGAAGTAATAATTTGAACTGGGAGCAATGCCTGATTTTAATAATATAAATGTGTATAATGATGAACAGACTTTTTATGTTTGATTTTTTTTTTTTACCTATTTGTTAAATGAAAACCTTCAGAATAAACAAATTGCCCTTGCTAGTAAACATATAAAGAACTAGGTATGATTGGCCATTCCCCTGGCCCCTCAGACTGTTGGAGAGATGGGGCATGTATAGAAAAGAATTCATGAAAGTTACAAAGAATACAAAGAAATAGCCTCCTGAAAGTTTTTAGGAGTGAGGCCAGAAAAGCTAAGACAGAAAAGGTGACAAACTAATCCATTCAAAGGAAGTGAAAATTTCATAAATAAAGAGTAAAAGTAAAATGTTGTCATTCTCTGACCAGGGGCCTATGCTCTATAAAGGAACAAATGCATACTAAAGAAAAATTTTAAAATAGGACATTACCATAAAGGTAGGGATCTTGAAAGCTTTCACAATATTTTTATTTCAAAAATGATCAACAATGTGCAAAAGCAAGAAGTCTGAAAAACAGAATGGAATAAGAGAAGGACCTCAAAATGCACAGGAATGTGGATCAAGTCTCACCAGGCCAGTGGTCAGTGGGTCTGGGGGGCTACGATTGACTTTGCTGTCACTGACATAAAGATTGTCTCCACCTCTGTGACTGGTGGTAACCTACTTTATCAGTAATGGCCTAGGCATTGGGACTTGTCATCTCTGATCTCAGCCACTGTGAGACAGAAGGTAAAGCAGGCAGGATTGCTTTTAACTTTCATTCCTTCTAGCCTTGTGCTTCCTATGGACCCAGCTGATATACCAGATCTTTTTCTTTTCATCAATCTCCATCTACTACCCTATCAAAACTTTACACTTGTGGGCTTTATTTGCTGTTTTCCATTTAAAGAGTCAACCATAAGTTAGTAGTGGTTCTGCAAATTAAGAATGTCTTTTTTGGGGGTGGGGATAGAACAGGGTAGGGAATTATCTACCATCTAGATTGGTTCCAAGGTAAAATCTATCTATAAATTGTACCTGTATGTCCATCCCTTTGTATTATAAGGGTGGACAACTTTATTCACCTGTTGGTTTGCTAGCCATAGTTGGGACATCCATAGTATATCAGGTTCTTTTCCAGAAGCTACATCCAGAACTTTGAGTAGACTGGAGTTTACTGCCTGGTGCATGCAGGAAACAAGTGAGTAGGTAATTTTAAAACAGTGTGCCACTTCCCAATGCAACTGTTCTGGGAATGCTTCAGCAGAACACCTCACAGAGCCACAAGTATGGGTAGGGGAAGAGAGAATGACAGCACAGGCTTCCAAGAAGAATTGGTACCTAAGCCAAGGTCTGAAGCATGGAGTTGGAGTCAGCCAGATGAGGTGGGGAGTGTTTCGGATGAAGAAGGGCACAGCATGTGCAAAGGCCTGGAGGCACAGAGACCAGGTGTGTTCAAGCAGCCAACAACCACAACGCTGCAGAGTTAATTAGGCAGGGTGGAGTACCAAGAATTATAAAAATATCTTGAAGCATAGGCATGTTGAATGGTACTCTGTGTGTGTGTGTGTGTGTGTGTGTGTGTGTGTGTGTGCATGTGTGTGTGCTATTTTCCTAAAAATAATATTTGTTAAAGGTTCCACTGACATCCAGTGAGATGTAGGAAAGGAACTTTAGGAGACTAACTAGCAATTATTTTGTGTTAGAACACTACAAGTTTTCTTTTGTTTTTTAATAACCTAGGCTGTCTTATGACTTGATCCAGGGATAGATAACCCAAAATGGGTTTCAAACACTCAACTCTTTCGTGGTTATGTGTGGAGCTGAAGGGCCCCCAAAGAATTCAAAGGTGACGTTCCCTGGGGGTTAGTCATGGAGTCAGAGTTTCTCTAGGTTCAAAAATCCTACTCATGTGTTATAGTGTAACTTGCCTCAGCATCTGTAGCCTCTGAACTCAACGCCCCTGCCATCAGTCTTACAGCCCAGAACCTAATGTGAAGGTTCCGTGTGTTTTGTGACCAGCAGAGTAGGACAGAGCTAGCTTTGCCTTTGTTCTAGATAATCTGTTTCTGTGACTGTATCCCAGGTTTACATCATATAGTCATTTACAGAATTTTTTCTTACTAAAATACTTAAGAAATTTTTTCAAGTGCTCTTCCCGGACCCAATATTGGATGGGAATTATCTAGATGAGGATGGATTATTATCTAGATGAGGAAATAGAAAGCAGGATCATAGTGTTTACACTTGAAGATGTAATGTTTGCATTTGGAAAGTTGAAGAATTGGCAGAGATAAACAGCATAGAGTTCCATAAGATTCTTTGGTGGGGCCTCTAGAAAGAAGGAAAATAAATAAATGAATGAATGAATGAATGAATGAATGAAAGAAAATCTCAAATCCCAATAGGGAAGGTCTAAGGCTAGGGAAAGAACCAGGAACTTTGCAAAACTGTCCATTGGTCCGCATTTGTACATCACAAGTTCAGAGCCTGTCATCAAAGTAGCCATGGGGAACTCGGGACATTCGGAGCAAGGCCCTTAAGACACAAAAGTGGGTAAACTAGGGTTGAAGAGACTTGTAGAGGAAAAGACTAAAATGTGCTCAGTGACATGTAAATGTAGGCTTTTAATAACTGGGTTTGCATCATAGCTCAGATTTAATTGCCTCCTTCTAGAACACAAAAGGCTCTTAGGCAGACAATGGGAGCTACGATTTGGCGTTAAGACAGATGTGAGTTTGAATCCTATCTCTGGAACTGACTGGTAGATTACTTAAACTCTTGAAGTCAGTTTCCTCATCTATGAAATGGAGATAAAAATAATACTTGCCTCAGAAGACCATTGTAGACTTTGATGAGATGATGCATTAAAGTACTGAGTATACTGCCTGGTCCATAATTAGCACTCAATAAACCAATCCCATTAATGTCCTTCATCCTCTTGAACAGAATAAGAGGGTGAAACTGGGTCATAGCAAAATTATTTCGGACAAAAGTAAAACTTTCATGAAGGTGAATTAAGCCCTGAAATTGTTAACTGGAGGGTGCAGTGAAATTGGGTCTGTTAATATTTGCCATCAAGAAAGGGCCACAAATCAAGTTCAGTTGAGTACTGAGTATAATTCTGTCTACATGTGCACCATATCCTCAGCATGCTGCAAAGAGGCCTCCAGCAACTATAGGCGGCACTTGGAGAAAAGAGGTCATGTTTCAAACAAGGCAAGACTGTGGTCTGTACCTAGTCATATTCCCTCCAGGGCCCTGCACAGGGTCCCACACAAGCAGAAGCACTCAGTAAATGTCTGGTTTTTAGGTTTAGTGACTTTGCATTTCTCAGGGTTATTCTCTGCTTCATTCCTTGATGTAGCTAAAATGAGCTATCACGGAGGCTGAGGGAACAACCCTTCTGGTTTCTAGAACTATGCCTGAAACAGTGATGAGTGAGGAATCCCAGCCATCTGCAACTGGGTCAGGTGCTCATTCCTGCCCTGTAGAGTAGATATGGCAGTTTTTTATGTTCCCCTTCAGGTGCTTCTGTTCTTGGTATAGCATGATGTCCTTAGATAGTTTGAGAAATTCCTGAATTCATAATCTGAAGCCATAATATTTCTTGTTGCATTTAGGAAAAACTAATTTTTTTGAGACTACCTACCTATCCCTTGAAAGAACATTCTAGACATTCTTGATATATCTTCCTGGTCATGTTTCCCATGGATTATTATGTTAATTTGTGTTCATTTTAATTGTTATCTTTTCATTTTTTTTCCTCTTTAAAAGGTGAGATATACTTTCTACCCTGTAAAACCCACAGAGCTTAAATGTCCACTTTGTTGAACTTTGACAAATGCCCATAGCCTCGTCACCCTCATTGCTATTAGCTCTTAATTTTCAAGTTGACTCATTTATTTATTTATTTATTTTTTTCTTTGCATTGACTAGTTTTGAAAACCGGTTCTAAGTGTTTGCTTGGTCTCAAACCCTCTGAGGTCAGGCATCTTCTATCTCTCATTCATGGCTGCCTCCTGAGCGCCAATCCCAGTGCTGGACACACATTAGGCATGAAATAGATATTAAATGAGTAAGTGGATGAGAAATGATCCTTCCCTGAGTTTATTTATGTGGCATGGTTAAGTCATTGCTCTGGCATCACATATTGTTTTCCAAAATCCTCCATGATCCTCAGGTAATTTCCACGCTCTCTCTATGCATCATGTGTGAGTAAGAGCTATGCAGACAAACAGGTTAGCACATTTTAATAGAAACAAGTCAATGTGCAGGCACAGTTGGCAATCTTCATATTCAGCCTTTGGGTCATCCTCCTTAGATAAATAATTTTGAAGTTCTATTTGACAATTAATCACTCATGCATAGATGGAAATGTGACTAGGTCCGACCAGGGATCTCTGTCTCTCTTACATGCTTTCTCTGTCTTGCTCAAGTTCTAAATATAGTCTCTGTACAATGTTAGGATTACACAAGGCACCATTAATTTTAAATGCAGTGTTTAAGAATGCTTCTAAAATAACCAGCTCTTATTGGGTGGACAACCCTTGCTGAGATTCTCACCCTGCTGCATGTTTATTTTCTAATAGGTAATCACTCCCCAGAATGGGCGCTACCAAATAGACTCTGATGTTCTCCTCATCCCTTGGAAGTTGACTTATAGGAACATAGGCTCGGATTTCA